CTGTGTTGACTGAACAATTAATCGGGTCCCACTGGCGTTGGCGACACCAGGAAGTAAACACTTTCCATTTAAGTGCGTAAAGTTTCCTCGTAGCCGGAGCTCTGGAGCTTAAAATGGTCTCAGCCACTTCCGCTGACAAACCACTACTCATGAGTTGGGCCCCCTCAGAGGCCACACCCATAGTTTCCAAATCTCTGGCTGGCGGTGAAATATCGTGCCCCCTGCCTGAGACAGAAGGTCTCTCCTGATGGGCAACTCCAGGGGAGGCCTGTCGAGAAGATGAATGAGGTCCGCAAACCAAATACGACTTGGCCAGCGTGGTGCTACTAGCAATAGACTTATCCCATCCTGGCGGATTCTCTCCAGAACTCCTGGGAGCAGAGCTACAGGGGAAAGGCATACAGACGCAGCCTCGGCCATGCCTGAACCATAGCATCCAGCCCCAGGGGGGCTGGTTGAGTGAGGGAGAACCAAAGAGGACAGTGCGTCGTGTGCTGAGACGCAAACAGATCCACTTCCGCCTGGCCATACACCCTCCAGATCTGCTCCACCACCTCGGGGTGGAGCCTCCATTCCCCCGGCCTCAGCCTCTGCCTCGACAGTGTGTCTGCTCCTACATTCTGGGCCCCTGGAATGTATACTGCCCTCAGTGAGAGCAATTTCCCTAGGGACCACAGGAGGATCTGGTGCGCCAGTTTGCACAGTGGACGCGAACGCAGACCCCCCTGTCGATTTAAATAAGAGACCACTGATGTGTTGTCTGTCCGGACAAGCACATGATGGCCCCTCAGATCTGGGAGGAAATATCTCAAAGCCTTGAAGACAGCCATCATCTCCAGGCAATTTATGTGCCAGGAGAGATGATGACTCCTCCACAGACCCTGAGCTGAACGGCCTTCCATTACCGCTCCCCAGCCGGTGAGGGAAGCATCTGTCGAGATAGCCACTCGATGGCAAAGAGCTCCCAACACCGGACCCTGGGACAGGAACCAGTGTTTCCTCCATATAATCAAGGCTTGGAGACACCGCCGCGTGATCTTGATCATACGAAGTGGGTTCCCCCTCGGGGAGAACCCTCTGGTCCTGAGCCACCACTGCAGAGGTCTCATATACAACAGGCCAAAAGGAATCACGTTGGACGCTGCTGCCAAGAGACCTAACAGTCTCTCGAACTGTTTCACAGTGCGTGACTGGCCTAGCTTTAGCTCCTTTGTGGCGGAAAGGATAGCAGCTACACGAGCGGGCGACAGCGTGGCTCGCATCGTGACTGAATCCCATACCACACCAAGAAAAGTGGTTCTCTGTACTGGAGAAAGCACACTCTTCTTGGCGTTGAGCCTCAACCCCAATTTCTGCATATGTGCGAGAACGACACCTCGGTGCCGAACCGCTAACTGTTCTGACTCTGCTAGAATCAGCCAGTCGTCTATGTAGTTCAGAATGCGTATGCCCTGCAGCCTGAGCGGGGCCAGAGCTGCATCTACGCACTTCGTGAACGTGCGGGGTGATAAAGCCAGACCGAATGGAAGTACCCGATATTGGTATTCTTTGCCCCCAAAAGAAAACCTCAGGAACCTCCTGTGCTGAGGGAGGATGGAGATATGGAAGTATGCATCTTTCAAATCTATCGTGACGAACCAGTCCTCGGATCTGATTTGAGTCACAATCTGCTTGAGTGTCAGCATCTTGAACTTGAGTTTCTGAACTGAACGATTCAATAGACGAAGATCTAAAATGGGACGCAACCCTCCATCCTTTTTTGGAACAATGAAATAGCGGCTGTAAAAACCCGATTCCCTGTCGGGTGGATACACCTGCTCTATAGCTTCTTTCGCTAATAAAGCCTTCACTTCTTGCTCCATCACCAGAGCCTGCTCGGGGTGTACCAACGTGGGCAGCACCCCGTTGAAACGTGGAGGACGAGAACCGAACTGGATTCTGTATCCTCTCTCTATCATCTGCAGGACCCAACGAGAAATATTTGGCAGATTCCTCCATTCTGTCAGAAATTCTACTAGGGGAACCAGCCTCTCGAGGCTGGCCTCTGATGTATTTAAAACACCCAGCCCGGGGGCCTGGAACATAACGGCAGACACCAACCGGACTGACTGTTTTTGAACCCCCCTCAGAAGGTTCCCGTCCGACGCAACGTCGAGTCGACGTTGCGCCAGACGTTCTCTGGCGACCACTGCGCCCCGAAGCACCAAGGGTGGCGGGGTGGGCAGAATTGTCCCCTGAGGACCCCGAAATGAACCGGGCACCGTATACTGAGGTGTACACCGGTTCACTTCGGTTGGGGCAGTCCTCACTGGTCTGACACCCGTGGCGTCAGGACCTTTTCTTTTGCGCCGAAGCCTTCTTAGCCTGAAGAACGGTCCTCAGATCCGGCTTCGACTTCGAAGGCTTTGGCTGAGAGTGTTTCGACTGCCTCCAGTGTTTTTGTGGAGGTGCACGAGACGCAACACTCTCTTTTTGTTGCGCACGATATGATGAGCTTGACGGCTGGGGCTGCTCAAGCCCAGCAGCCCCAGGGGGTTGGACACGGCGAGGGAGAAATTTTTTAAATGCCTCTGACTGTTTTTTAGCTTCCTGAAATCTCTCGACGACCTCATCAACAGCGTCGCCGAAGAGACCATCAGGATTAACCGGGCATCTAAAAGAAGGAACGATCTCGGTCCTTTAAATCAGTCAAATTCAACCACAGATGTCTCTCAGTGGCCACCAGGGCTGCCATAGACCGCCCAATTGCTCTAGCGGTCTCCTTAGTAGCCCTGAGAGACAAATCTGTGGCCCGACGAAGTTCTCTAATTTCATCGGGTCCAACTCCCTCACTTTTATCCAAATCCCCCAGCAGCTCAGCCTGGTATGCCTGTAATATAGCCATAGAATGGAGGCATGCACCAGCCTGACCTGCTGCCGTATGCTTTGCCCACTAGATGTTGTTTTTAATGGTTTAGTGGGTAAAGCTGCAGATAGCTCGCGAGCGTCTGTTCAGCCCGGGGCATCGCCTCATAGCCGTACTCTTTCAGCCCCCTTATACCCGAATAAATATGAACTTGAGGGCTGAAAACACGTGCAGAGTACGGCTTATTCCATGTTCTTGATATCTCATTATGTAAATCGGGAAAGAATGGAAGGCCTCGTGGTGGAAGTGAAACACTAGATGAAAGAAAACGCTCGTCGAGTTTGCTTTTAGGACGCGCGTCCTCTCTTACAGCTGGCCAATCAATATGTAATTTTTCAACCGCTCTAGTAATCACTTCCACCAACTCATCATATGCGGGAGAAACAGATGGCGAGTCTTTTTCTCCCGTGTGTGTGCTTAAACTGTCGATGCTCAGTACATCTACCTCCTCGGAGCTAGAGCACTGAAGCATCGGGCTCTCTCCCCGGGCAGAAGGAACCGCAGCGCGGGCTTCTGACACCAGAGCGAGAGCACTGGATCGTTCAGAAAAGGAAGGCGATAAGGCCACAGGACCCGTCTCCAACCCCTCTGAAAGATCCTTTTGCGATCCCCAGGAATGCATTCTCCACGCTGCCTCGGCAGACGCAGGTCCTGCACCCTGAGGATTGCGAGCCTGGCCGCTCTCATCAAACAGCGCCAGACGGGAGCGAAGCATGCGGAGCGAGAGATTCTCGCAGTGTTGGCAGTCAGCCTCCTCGAAGGCTGACACCGCATGCTCCACTCCCAAACAAATGACACAAAGCTCGTGAGTATCCCCACCCGTTAAATAGCGCGGGCAGGGAGAAGCACAAAGCCTGAACATTTGTTTCGCCATAATTCCGTTTCCAATAATAATCACAGACAACAGTAAATAAGACAGACAGAGACACAGATCGCTTGCTGAGGCAACAGAAGCTAATGCCGGTTTGCACCGGGTGCTCTTTTATCATTTCCTGGTCATGACGTCATCCGCCCATGACGGTCATGTTTCCTATTGGACTAGTTGACATAGATGCTTCAGACGCAGTCACGCTGGAGGCGTTCCCAAAAGCGTAACAGTGACGCATCGCCCTCGATAGGGAACTTGCTTTGTCTGAACAAAAAAAAAATCAACAACTTTATACTCATATATCTCAATTTTATTTTTCAAGCACCTGTTTAAACAATGTTGCACTTACACTCAATTCACTTGTGATCAAAAAAATAAAATAAAAATTAACAATAATAATAAAATAATCGAAAATTGTGATGAAATTGTGTCTTCCCCCAAAGTGTCTTTATTACATAGTTTCAACAGATTGTTACTGTACTAAGCAGAAAAGAATAGCACAAGAACAACAATTTGGATGGTAGGTGATCTATAAGAACCTGTCTGAGAAATAAGCAAGTTCAAGGTCACACAGTAACACAACATATGAAGAGTTCAGATGCAAAAGCCTCTAAATGCCATTTGAAATTTTCTCCTAGAATGATCATTTTTATCAATCTTGTATATTTAAGTTCAGTAATTTCACTTAAATAACAATCAATAGGTAATCTTCATTGCCATTTAAGTGAAATTACTGAACTTAAATATACAGGCTTGATAAAAATGATCATTCTAGAAGAAAATTTCAAATGGCACTTAGAGGCTTTTGCATCTGAACACTTCATATGAACTAGTGTCATTTTATCTGCTTCATCAGTTGCTTCACCTTGATGAATTTCACAAGAATCACGCTTTTCTCGCTGAGATCTTTCCCGGCTGACGCTGTCCCAACCTGAAGACAAGGAAAACAAAATAAACACATTTGTTTTAGTTTTTTAGGTAGAAGGGGATGAACATACTCAGTTGAACTAGTTTTACGTAGACTTAACTTCACTTGGATGATGTGTCAGTATAAATACTTTAACCACTCAAGTACTTTAGTTTATACTGCACACAGAATAAGTATTATAGGGATAGTTCACTTTGAAATTAATTTTTGATATGTTTTAGCTTACCTCAAGGGCATCCAAGATGTAGGTGTCTTTGTTTCCACAGTATTTTCAATTTTGACATTTTTCAGTCAAACCGTTCTTGTCTGTCAGTCATATAATGGAGGTCTATGGTCACCACCTCAAAGAGCATGCACAGAGAAGTCTAAATTAAACATGATTGAATGACTCGTAAATGTAAGTACACATTGATGGCCTAAGACACGAAACGAGCGGTTTGTTTGAGAAAACGAACAGTGTTTATATCGTTTTTACAGATATTGAAATGAGGTCAAAGAGTTAAACTTTATATACTACATCTCAACCATTCAACCATAGTTTTGTTGTTCAGAGACCAATATGAAAGCCATTTCAAACTGTAAATCTGTAAACTCCTCTACTAGGTCTTTGAGAGAAGATCAGGGTAGAAATGTTAGAGAAACATGTGATTTTCATTCTGACAGTTTACCCATTGCAAGTCTGTGTTGCATATGAATCAAGCATGTCTAATGGGTAAAGTATAGAGTAAACTCTATAGATCTGAATAAAGCTATGCTGTCATAAATGCATAACTTCCAATTAAATAATTTAAGTTATAGCACAATAGTTACCTTCAGCATTTTGGATAACGTCTTGGAGCTCACTAGTCTGTTTGAGGCCTCGCGGCTTTGAAGGGATCCCTGTCAGTAGTTGGCCCACCTGAAAGTATTTAAGACAATATGAAAACAAAATATTTTGTTCCTTTTCTTTCAAAAGCACAACACATTTATACCAGAACTAGATGACAGGAAAAAACATAGAAAACATACAGTATCCCAGAGTGGGATAATCCCAGAGTGAGAGTATCCCAGACTATTAAATTTGCCCAACATGTAGGGATGGGCAACGATTAATCGCATCCAAAATAAAATTATATAATATATGTGTGTGTAGTGTGTATAATTAATTTGTATATATAAATATACACACATGCATGTATATATTTAAGAAATATTTGCATTTATATACTTAAATATTTATATATATATAAATGTAAATATATACATTTATAAATATATGTAAATATATATGTATATATAAATATATGTAATATATATATATATTACACATATATAATATTATATATAATATTTATATATTAATAACACATTCTTCTTAAATATACACATACATGTGTGGGTATTTATATTTATAAATTAATTATACACACTACACACACATATATTATGTAAACACAATCTTTTATTTTGGATGCGATTAATCGCGAATTCGCGATTAATTGTTGCCCATCCCTGAGAACAGCAATTATATTTTGAAAAGATACTATGTTACTCTCGACCTTATTTACATTATGACTTAATGACTGACCAATCTGGAACAAAATAATACTTCAAAGACAGATGCGTAAAATAACCAAGTTGTATGGTCAATAAAAAAGTTACAAAAGTTTATTAATCATTCCGTTCAAGCTAATAAAAGCAGACTAAACATCAAATCTCACACCTGTTTGTGGTTGCCGTTTCATCCGTCCCTCTGATGCTTCTTTCTGCAGGGTTTTTATTCTCCATGCCAGATATCCACTTCCATCTTCTGGATTGTAATAATGCTCCTATGACCAGAACAATACACAGACCTAGTAGTTATACATTACACAATTAAAGAAATAAATACCATATGAATAATAATGTAGATAATCTTTACTCTGCAGTATACAGAGTATATCATCCTCCTGTAAATCAAAAATATTGAGAGGCAACAGCTACGTACATAACCAAGCTTGCTCCTGGGTGACCCATTCTGCCAAGTATGGGAATAGGGAGATGATTCCCTTTGCATATTCTTGAAATGTAAAAGGTGTTGGAGAAAAAATATCTTTCTTGGTGTCTTTGAACTTCACTCTCAGTCTCACAACGTTGTTGGTTTGCATTCTGGAGGGACCAAAAAGACAGTTAAGGCGTTAACACTCACAGTCAGATGAAGCCCTGATTATATCAAAAGCTTACAATGACTTTAGTCATTCATTACAAGGAAGTTATCATGCTTTTAACTTTAGAATACTGTTCCAAATAATAGGTAGTTCCCTATGAACTATTTGGTAATACTTGAGTCATAATCAGTGGGTTACCAACATTACAATATTGTATACATTATGCATTATTCACGTTAATTATGAACCTGCAAGCAGTAGTAGTTATTTATTAGTAATCCTATGGGAGGTATGAAAAAGTTACTGATTAGCTAATAGTGAACTACCACATTCTGAGCGCTATTACTCACTATTTATTAATCAGAATTCGTTAGTTAATATTTTCTACTAGAGCGTTAATAATGCATTAATCATTTGTTCATGTGTAAGTTATTCATCATGAACAAATATTTAACGCATTGTTAAGTTAACACTCAAAATGACCACATCAAAATGGCCTCCATCATTAAGGCTAACGTTAACTTAACTCTTTACAGAGTCAAGTACATGTGGCGCACAACTCGAGCCGCTCATCGTCACAGTAATGTTACGTTAATGTACGTATAACTTACTGGACACATCAATATGCAGCTAGCTAGTTTCAATAGTGTCAATTAAAGTTTATGTAAGCTATAACTTATAAATAGCCTCCATCATTCCAATTAAGGCTAACGTTAACTTAACTCTTAATAGAGTCACGTACATGTGGCGCACAACTCGAGCCGCTCGTCACAATATTAACGTTATAACGTATAACTTACTGGACAGTGGACACACATAATTATGCAGCTAGCTAGTTTCACTAGTGTTAACGTTTACTTAAGCTATAACTTATGTCATCTAACGTTGTTTGCGTTTGGGGTGATTACAAAAATAAGTTAATTTATCCCATTAGTTCAATCTTGAGCCCAGTTTAAAATGTGATCCTTATGTGTTCGCCTTCCCAGTTAACTAACATAGGCTTAGCATTTTGGCTGTACAACTGCATTTAACAAACAAGTGATTAACGTTAACGTTAGTGATTTTCTTGTCGAGCACTAACTTAACGGTCACGTTAAACTTCACATCAAGTTAACATGGGAAAAAGCTATCTCTGTAATGTTCAAAAACCGCGAAATTGATCTGAGCTCAAAACAGAGGCGATTTTTATGAAAATGGGTACTAAAACTTTGGAATTCTACTTACTTTTAAATCCAGCAGTAGCACAACGATCTCTTCCAAATCCAAATGCAGACCGCGATCGCGATGGACGTGTAGAACAGTAATGGCTGACAAACGAAACTTAGGGAGCAGAAGATTTTGGGGAGGAGTCACAGTTACTCTATAATTTTGCTCCCACTCTATGGACACATTTTACTCTGTTCACTCAAAATAGATAAAAAACAACTCTTTTTGAGGAAAAAAATAATTACTCTGGAAAAACTACTCTGCTATTTTTCCTGTGTACCCAATCCCCGTCTCATTCACTAGCACCATAAAGGACTCACCCATGCACTTCCTCAGTTGTCTGGTCTCGTCGACACTACCGACCTCAGACTCCCACCATTGGCAAAACCTACTTACCCGTTACCTACCTGATTCCAGTCCGTCTTCAGATCCTTCGTCTTCCTGCTATCCAGTCCTGTTCCCGTTCTTCAGTGTTCCATCTGCCATCAGCCTACCGATCCCATTCATCCTGCACCAGATAAGAGACTCTAATTACAGACTGTTTCCAGATACCTTCAATATTCTTCAACCCATTTACTCACCTGCCATTCTCCATTGTTCACATTTGCAATAAACCTGTTCAACTCACCAATCTGTGTCCTCTGATCCCTGACAGTCACATTTCAGTTTGGCCAAGTAACATTTATTTTCTTTAAATGGCAAGAAATACCAGCTAATACTAAGGTTATTTACTTGTTATGAATTGTCTGCAGAAGTTAAGTTTGGGCCAGAGTAATGTACATGCGCAGTACCATTTGTTTATGTTGTTACTGATGAAAGCGTCTATACAGGAGGGCCCACAACTGAAGGGTCACTTTCCTGCAGATTTTACCTAAAATCCTAATTAAATTAACCTGTTTCAGCTAATAAGGTCTTCAGAATTAACTAGAAACTTCCAGGAAAATGTGTTTGTGGCAGTTTAGACCTAAACTCTGAAGTACATTTGCCCTCCAGGAGAAGGATTGGACATCCCTGACCTAATACAACTTAATACCCTTTCTCCGTACTTGTTCATTTGTAAATTACACAAATGAACATTCATTTGTTGATTTTGTCCATTAGATTGAAAGATCTCAAAAAAATCCATACATTTACCTGTCTATAGTCCCTCGCCTCAAAGAAATCAGGACAGTAGTGGTTGAAAGTGGACAAAAGAGACAGATAAATTGGAATGTGTCTCCCTCGTCTGCTTGTGATCTGATCAACCAAAACTCATCTTAAAACAGGACCAAGAGTTCACACTTTATCTTGACACAACATTTGAGTGTTCGCTTTGCAACTACTGTACAGAAAGTCTTGAAAACATGGCTTAAAATGAACAGAACTTCCTGTTTGAATTGATCATAAATGGGGTCTGAGAAATTAGACAGAATAATAATATCAGTCTTTAACTCATGTACCTTTTGATAAAAGGAAAAATAAAAACAACTCACTCATTTAAATTTGTAGTACTTACTGTGGTCCTGCTACCTTGAAATGTGTCAGCGTGCTTTACACAGATCAAGTACGTGAGTACAAATACCCCAATACACGTCCTTCATCCGGCCTGTTTTGAAGGATGCATTGGACATATCCTTTGTGGCCTTAAAGGGTTAGTTCACCCAAAAATGAAAATTAAGTCATTAATTACTCACCCCCATGCTGTACCAACCCCGTAAGACCTTCGTTCATCTTCGGAACACAAATAAAGATATTTTTGATTGAATCTGAGGGCCGGATGACTCTTCCATAGACAGCCTGAGGGACTGCCTCTTGACGGCCCAGAAAGTCATTAAAAGAAAAGTTTAAATATTCCATGTGCCTACAGTGGCTCAACTATAACTTTATCAAGCGACGAGACTACTTTTTGTTGCGAAAAAAACGTAAATAACGACTTTATTCGACTTCCATTACTTCCTTTATGGGCGCATGCGCGAGAACTGAGACGAGACCGTTCTTCTTCGTCTACTTTTTGTTACCGGCTGCTCACGCTTAGGAGTTTACCGCCCCCCTACCGTATAAGATGACGTACTGCTTGTAACAGAACGTTTTGCGCCTCCGGCTATATCAGTACGTCATCTTATACGGTAGGGGGCGGTAAAACTCCTAAGCGGTGAGCAGCCGTTAACAAAAAGTAGTCGAAGAAGAACGGTCTCGTCTCAGTTCTCGCGCATGCGCCCATAAGGAAGTAATGGAAAGTCGAATAAAGTCGTTATTTACGTTTTTTTTTCGCACAAAAAGTAGTCTCGTCGCTTGATAAAGTTATAGTTGAGCCACTGTAGGCACATGGAATATTTAAACCTTTTCTTTTAATGACTTTAAAGCCACACTGTGGAACTCTTCAACCTTAATAATATATTACCAAAACCCATTGAGATGGTAGATCGAGTTACAATAGGTTGAACGATGCATCTGCCGTCTCCTGAAGGTGTCTGTATCGCTTTTACTTGCACTTTGTAACTTCGGGTTTCGGGTAGGAACCCGAGCACAAAAAGAACGACAAAATTTGACCGCTTTACGGCATACGTCACTTCCCCCACCACCCACAACTTCCTCAGAATCTAACGTTAGTGCTCAACTCGCGTTTGATTGCCGTCCGTATGTTTTCGTCATGCCGAACAACAGCTACAATGAAGAAGGCAATGGTTTTATCAGAGGAAACTAAAAAAGAAAAGGGGAGAGTGACAAATTAAAAGCCAGGATGAAGATTAACACATTGATCTAGCTTTCGCTTCGCTCACTGGCGTGAGCTAAAGGAGGAGGGGTGCTCGACCGATGCGAACGCTTGCCTGCACACAAATGCCGTTTCTAAGGTAACCCAGATAAATTCATATTCTGGTATTCCGGCCACAGCCGATGGTGTTATGAGTGTAATAAAATGCCCACAGCCCAGTGTTCATTTCTACAGCCCGCCTTAGTGCAGGGCTCGCACTAATAAAATCGGCTCGTGTCAAATATAACGTTACATTAAATGTAGTGAACGTGCCCACGACTAGTACCCACAAACACTAACGTTACACACCACATGTCCCACGGTTTCTGTAAAAATAAACCAACACACATAACGTTACAGTCAGCTCTGGCCGACGGTGTTTTCAGTGCAGTGAATGTGCCACTGTCCCACGCCCACATTCACTCACAGACATGATAATCCCCACGGGGATCACCCCGCTCGCTCTCTCTCAGCTGACTGCTATAAGGAAATCGGCCCGCCTCATACACTGCAAGCACCATAGACAGTAAAAGCACAAGCACACACAATCTAAAGACACGGGAGGCTGACCGGTTGACTGTTTGTTGACTTTATTTTGCGACAATGCTGCGGAGCTTGTGGCCTCTAGGGACGCTAGACGTGAAAATTACAGGTCGAGGACCATCTAGTGGCCAAAAGTTCCGCAGTGTGGCTTTAATTCCTTTGCACACATTCCAAATCACGAAAATAAACTGATGGAAAAAAGTATGTATTGAGCTTGTCTGAGTTTATTATGAAAATGTAAGACAAAAACATATGTTTTTTGTACATGAAAACATCTGTTATCGTTTGTTTTGCTGTAAATTAACCCTTTCACGCGTACGATCACACCGGTGTGATCAGTCTTGGCTGGTCCCTGGAGCGTACGATCACACCGGTGTGATTAGAACGTTCAGTGCACACGTCAGCAACTGCTAAATTCAAACTTGCTCTCGCGCGTTGGCTGGCGCTCAGCCAGAGACAGACGCACTCAGTGCTGTCATATATCACAACTATTGAGTGTTTTCAACCACATAATGTTTATTTTAGGTTTCAGACATTTAAATACACATATGTACAAGCAAAACAATGATTTTGAGTTTGTAAAATACATACAGATGTCTATGGGAGCGGCAATAATAATCCTTTCAATTATAATAAGACGACACATTTTATTCATATCAGATACACATTGTGTAAGTAGCTTAACATTTGATCCTATTCTTCTCCCAGTTCACCAGCCACTTACTATCATGTATTTCGTGAGAAGTGGATGAATTGACGTAATAAATCCAACAGATCCGATTCTCTGAACTGAAAACGAAACTAAAATGGCGCCGCCCGTTGTGCATACAGCTCAACTAACGCGATCGTTATAAAGATGTCTAAACAACAAAACCCATCCACTTGCACATATTTGACAATCGGAATATCAGTGTTTCATGATATAGCTAATACATTTTTGAATATTTTTAATAAAAAAGGAAAAATGACATAAAAGCAGATCATCATTCATTCCGCGCTCTGTTCTGGTTGTGCTGTGTCACGTGACAAGCAATGACGCGTCACCATGGAAACATTAAAGTGGCAAGTTCTAAATAACGGTCGCCTTGAAAAACTCACGCTGGGGGGTCAGTTAGAATATTTTAAACTTACGTGTGAAAGGGTTAATCAGTAACACTAAACTGACAATAATGTAAGACTTGGAGACCGCAGAAGGTTGTCAATCACTGTATTGCATTGATAAAAAGAATGGAAGGACTACGAAGGGCGCAGTTTCTGTAGAATACAGCCTTCTGTTTGAGAAACACCCAATAAATGACCATAGCAACGGAAGTGAACAGAAGACAAACAGAAAAAAAATATGATAGACAGACTTAAAATCCTTAAAAAATGAAACAGAAAACATATAGGTGACATGAACCGTGTTTATTATTTATTCTAAACAGCACCGAGAAAGATTTACGTAGACACATATGCAAAATATCCATTGATCAGCAAATAAGCAAACATTTTATTAAACACTATCAACAACTTAAATAGTATAACTCAGTATACTAAAATATCCAATTAATTTACTAATGATTCAAGTGTCCAAACAAGTAGAGGCTCCCATATAATATTCTTAAAATTTGTGTAAATATGTGGTGACGAATAGTGTAAAAATACAATGTGCAGATGGCTTGTGGGGCACGAGTAAACATTTAAGATGAATGCTGTGCAAGCATACTAGTTTTATATTATTTGAAACTGCTAGTGCAGCAGGGGAGATGCACAGACAATAATTTGCGCTTTTTTACCTAAAATGGCCTATCTAGTACATATTCATTCATATGGATTCTGCTATGTCCACATTCAAGCTTTTCAATAGGCTTAAACAGCTCGCACTGATTTGTGAGATTTAAAATTACCAAAAATTTAAATGATGTTTTATTAACAAAGTTCATTGAAAATTAACCACCCCTTCTCCACACTTCTAGTCCTACCTACTTACATAAGGGGGAGTACTCTGGGTTCGGGCTGAACTCCGAGCTAGGAGCCCTCCCCCTGGACAGCACACCAAAGCCAACTCAACTTTACCCCCTCTAATTGTATGTAAGCGTGAATTTAACATTAGTAACTTTTCGTGTCATCAGTTGCGCGCACCCTGAAGGTATCCTGGTTCTTGGCTCATTTTGGCCCTGTCCCAAATGGCACACTTCATGTGCACTTGCAGTCCTGTGAGCTTACAATGTCCACCACGTGCACATGTACGTTAAGTGCACAAGATAGTAGGACAGGGTTCCTCAAATCCAGCCCTGTCCTACAGAGTTTAGTTCAAACCATGATCAAACTCAAACCCTGCAACTTTCAAGTAACTCTGGAGACCTTAACAAGCTTGTTCAGGTGCATTTAATTAGGGTTGGAACAAAACTCTGCAGGTCATTGGCCCTCCAGGATGGGATTTGAGGAACCCTGCCATGGCGTGTCCCAACCGTCAAATTGTGGGGTGGCAGTGGCTCAGTGGATCATGTAGGTTGTCTAAATCAAAAGGTTGGTGGTTCAATCCCCGGTCCCACCTGATCACGTGTTGAGGTGTCGAGGTTATATGGCAGCCTGTACTTGTTTGGACCAAGTACTTGTTTGAACAAGACACCTAACCCCAGCTGCTCCTGACAAGCTGGATGGTACCTTGCATGACTGACACTGCCGTGAATGTGAGACAATATGTAAAGCGCTTTGGTGGCCATTGCTGTGAAAGTACTATAAAAATGTAGTCCATTTACCATTTTAGTTTTCAGAGGGGTGCTCGCAAACACCACCTTTGCGGCCAACATGCGCCCTCGATGCGCACTATTGCCAAGCCTGCATGCCTGTGGTTTCAGCAGTAAATTTCAAAGTGGTATCACGTCATAAATGTGTTGACTCAGAGGAAGATCGCAAGGGCTTAGGGCTTTGGGACAGGGCCTTTGAGACATGAAGAATCACTCTGACTAGATCATTGAATCAGTGAGTTGTTGACTTGAGAAAAGCGGCCTAATAAGCGGATCAGTCTGATTTGCGAATTAATTAAACAGTTTCATTGAGAAGAATCGTCTCTTTACGAATCAGATGTCGCTCTTGTGCTACAGTATACGTTTCAACTGCAGAGCCATATGCGACTACATCGCTTGGAAGTTAGGGCAAAGCTGACAATTGCCTAACCTGCCCCCACCACTAAACCTAACTTCACTCTAAGCTCCACCCTAGCGACCGGTCTGAGACTGCTGACGTGGTGCTGCTGTCCTGAAAGTGATGTATGGTGCTGGGGCTCTGCAGCTGGATACTATTCACTCAAAGGGGGTGGAGATTTCAAGGAGAAACTGGTTAATGTAAACTATTAATATAACTACCACAAATGACATGCTGAGAATATACTAAAGGTGCCGACTGTTACATATCAAGAGTTCAGTATACAGTAACACTGGTCTGTATGTGAGAGTGATACAAAAGAAGCCATTACTCAAAACAGCCATGTTAAAGCCTGTCTAGAGTCTGCAAACAAGCATAATGGTAAAAAGTTTGAAGAGAGAAAAAGAGGAGGGCCCGTCAAACATCCAGCTGTGTTACCGGTTGCATGCCTTGCATGCATGCTGCACTCTGTTACATTTGAACCATTTAATTGGAGATATAAAGCATCCTCTTGGCAGATCTGGATGAAATAATAACTAAAGCATAGTGACAGATTCAGAGTGCATTCCCAAAACTAGAGCTTTTGGTGTGAACCTGAGCCTGTTTGTATTTGTGTGTGCGCGACTACATGTATGCATGTGTAAAATGTGCAAGTACGTGTGTCATAGTATTGCCAGTCCACAGAATTTAGGATACCATGTGGTTACAATTTATCTCAAAGATAAAATGTGATGCGTTTCAGAAAATATGTTTTGCTTTTATCTTTTGCTCTATGCTCATGAATCAGAGTTGTTGTTTTTTGTTTTTTTTGTTTTTTCTTTTTAGGGTATATGCATATTTATGAACATCGTTACAGTTGCCTTGATCAGCGCAAACTAGTCTAGTCATTCTCCTCTGACCTCTGGCTTAAACAAGGCATTTCCGCCCTCAGAACTGCCGCTCACTGGATATTTTCTCATTTTCAGACCATTCACTGTTAATCCTAGAGATGGTTGTGTGTGAAAATCCCAGTAGATTAGCAGTTTCTGAAATACTCAGACCAGTCTGTCTGGCACCAACAATCATGCCACAGAGAAGTTACTTATTATCACCAATTTTTCTTATTCTGATGCCCATCTTGAACTTCAGATCATCTTGACCATGTCTACATGCCTAAATGCAATTAGAGACTGCCATGTGATTGGCTGATATGTGCGTTAACAAGCAGTTGAACAGGTATACCTAAAAAAAATGGCCGGTGAATGTGTGAGTGTATATATATTTATATATAGACCATTTCACAAGATGTAAACAACACTGGTCCAGAAGCACTTCCTGTTTCAGTTTTTTAACACTACATAAAAGCTGTGATAAAGTACAACCAACAGAACATTTAAAACTGAATCAAAAAGTTAAACAAACATCTTTAAGATGTTTTCTTTACATGTGAAATAAAGAAAACAGTTACAAACTGAAACAGGAAGTGCTTCTGGACCAGTGTCGTTTACATCTTGTGAAATGGTCTATATATATATATATATATATATATATATATATATATTGAAAAATTGTATAATACAAACTACAAAGTAATCCATATATTTTAAATTAATACATGGCATTTTCAATTAAAAATCTTACATTTTTGTGCTAGCTCAAAAAACTTCAAGGGCCAGATTAATTATTATTATTATTATTATTATTAAATTTTTCTCCTTTTTAGCTCAAAGCTATTGTATCAGCCACAATTTCAAAAAGCTAAATGAACTTGACATGGAACTCAAAACTTTTTCTTGTTTTCCTCTTTTTCTTGTTTTGCAGAATGATGGGTGACGTTCAGTTTGTTACAGGGTCTCATGTCTCCAAGACGACTATGACTCTAGGACGAGCTTCCCCAAACAAAGAGCCCCCTGTTTTTACCCTCCCGCCACATAATACCCGCATCTGCCAAGGGGGTACCGCACGCCTTGAAGGGAAGGTGAGAGAGAATCTTCAGAACCATCCTGATCCAGACCCTCAACTGATCCTCAGTGTAATGAAGCAGACACTGTGTCTGCCAATGAATTTCATTTAAAACTCCCAACAATAATCTAGCTCTATTCCAAAACCGAATGTGCTGCCTTGCTGTCTGCTGCACGCATAGGCAGCTGGCAGTTGTGAATGGATGGCCCTGTTTTTCTAAGAATTTACAGAAATATGTGTCCCTTCTTTTGATTTGTCAAGCCTTCATCATTTGTCCTAAGCAGATAGGAAAGACAGATAAAATGTTATATAAGATTATATGATGAGTTTTTCTTTTGAAGATTCTAATCAGGCAAACATCTGTGTTTAATTACGTTCTCGGAGTGTGTTAAGGACAGTGCATTTGGACACTTGCAGTCTCAGCAGCAGGCAGATACTCCAATAATGCGTCTGTTAAAGCTGTGTGTGCTGTCTGAGGCCAGAGACAATTGACATTTTAAGAGGGTCTGAAAGAGTAAACTTCAGAAGTAAAGCACTTTTTGTGCTTCAGACATGAAAATTGAGTTCAGTAAATGTGCACGAGAAAAGGTGCAGAAAAATGGCAACGATTTTTAAATTGTTTGAATAAATATTGAATAATTTGCATCTAAGTCCCAAAATAGTCACGTCATTTTCATTTATATAGTGCTTTTAACTATGTAGATTGTTCCAAAGCGGCTTTACAGTGATAATTGGAAATTAAAATAACAGATTGTTTTGGCTTTATGGCAGCTCTAGAATGAGGTTCTACCGATTTAGACACCAATTTAACAGAAAACTCTTAAGTTCTCTCTACGCAAACTTTAAAAACATGAACCTGTGAGAATGCTGATAGCGTGCACATGCGTATTAAGAGTTCATTCTATAGGTATGCACGTTTATGTGTGCAGGCATGTAGTCCCTCACTAAAAAAATAAACCCTCAACTAATTACTTCGCTCGGCCTTAAAGCCCCATTATGTTATTTTTGAAATTTGGGAAACAATATTGGGAAACAGTATTGTCTTCTACTACTGTCGTAAAATGTGTCATGGTTACACTAGGGAATACACATGCATTTGTTGACAAGTGATACCCTGAAATCTGCAGAAGGAGGGAGATCTCATATCTTGGGCAGACTCCAGTGTTGCGTGTGAAATGTCTTCATCCCAGGTACATTGGCATATATTTCAGCATGTCTTATGAATATAGTGTCATGGGCTTTATTTTTTTCAAACGTCAAAACATTGCGTAGCCAGTGTTGTTTTTGACAGCCCTTTTAGTTTTAATCTTAGTCTTTTGGACGAAAATGCTTTTAAGTTTTAGTCATATTTTAGTCACTTATAACTGTAATAGTTTTTGTCAAGTTTTAGTCGACGAAAACACAAAAATGTTTTAGTCAAGTTTTAGTCAATTTTAGTAAAAAAAAAAAAAAGTCTTTAACAAATTAATTTAGGTTAAAAAGTATTGGAATTTGGCTTAGGTTTGACAGGTTGTAGCAAGTGTTGGAATTCATAAAACAACAGCTATCCTTAAACCCTTTGCATAATAACTTTCTCATTGATGGAGATGCAGTTTTGACATTGCCAAGTTGTACTTCACTGTCACATTAGGCAGAAACCTTTTATCCCCATATTTCAAGTTATAGTTTTTCCATGAATATGTGCTATTTTCACCAGTAATCACAGTAATAAAGGAATTGTTTAAAGTTTAAACAGCAAAAAACTTTGAGCTACATTACACACAGATAAAGTGGTAACAGTGGAATCACTGTTTTACTTCAAAAAAGCCAGGAATAAAAACGTTCTTACTTTGGTAATAGTGGCTTTATTTGAGAAATTGCTAAAGTGCAATGAACAACGTGCCCAAAATATAAGCTATTGAGGAACACATACTTCTAATCTACAACTTCAACCGCTTCAAATTGTCTGCCAGTGCAACAACAAGATGAATACTTTAACGTGTGCAAACTGCAAAGTTGCAAATATTCTGAAACAAAATAATAAAATAAATAAATAATACTTAGGTGCATTGAACATAGTTTGTTAGGAATGCATACTTGAAAATAAAGTATGAAACAAACATGACACTTGAAGTGTGTTGAACATAAAAATGATTAAGACAATCCCTGAATACTGTTAACACTTTGGTCTTTAAATGGTTAGTTTGGTATTTTACACTTAAAGGAGCTGTATGTTAGATTGTGGCCAAAACTGGTACTGCAATCAGTTTCAAATTACTGTAGAGCGGTGTATCCCCTCCCCCTCCCCCCTGACTCGAGGTTACCAGATATGCTGCAGGATCCAATATTTTTTTATTAGAGATGATGGCAGTGTTTCGGGCTCTCAAATACTTCCTGCCAGACCTGAGGGGCCATCATGTGCTTGTCCGCACAGACAACACTTCGGTGGTGTCCTACATCAACCATCAGGGGGGTCTGAGGTCGAGAGCTTTATACAAGTTGGCTCTGCAGATCCTCCTATGGACCCAGGGGAAATTGTTGTCACTGAGGGCAATATATATTCCAGGGTATCTGAATGTGGGGGCTGATATTCTGTCGAGACAGGGGCTGAGGCCCGGGGAGCAGAAACTCCACCCGAGGTGGTGGAGCTCCTATGGGAGAACTTTGGTCAGGCTCAGGTCGATCTATTCGCAACTCAGGAGACAACTCATTGTCCGTTATGGTTCTCTCTCACGCAGCCAGCTCCTCTCGGACTGGATGCGATGGTGCAGGTGTGGCCGAGGCTACACCTGTATGCATTTCCCCCGATATCAATGCTCCCGGGAGTTCTGGAAAGAGTTCACTAGGAAGGGGCTCATCTGTTGTTAGTAGCCCCGCACTGGCCGACCAGAATATGGTTTGCAGACCTAGTGTCCCTCTTAGACGGCTCTCCTATGGAGATTCCGGTTAGGAGGGGGCACAATATTTCACCCTCGCCCCAAGCTGTGGAAACTATGGGCTTGGCCTCTGAGAGGGCCCAGCTTGTGAATGCTGGTCTCTCGACTGAGGTTGTGGAGACCATTGTTCAATCCAGAGCTCCCTCCACGGAGAACGTGCTTTAAATCCTGTTGACTGCCTGGTTGGTACAGTTCTCGATTTCCTTCAAGACCATTTCTCTGCTGGACTAACTCCCTCCACCTTGAAGGTGTATGTTGCGGCTATATCTGCCTTTAGATCCCCTGCGGGGGCTTCTTCTCTTGGGAGAGATCCTCTAATAACTCGTTTTCTCCGTGGAACACTGAGGCTGAGGCCTGCTTTGCACTCCAGAGCACCGGCTTGGGACCTGGCCATTGTACTCGAGGGTCTGGCTTTGGCTCTCTTCGAGCCTATCGAGGAGGTTTCAGAAAAAATCATCACTCATTCATCGTTTGAAAATGCAGCTCGAAGTTCCCTTGAAAGGGAACGTCTCAGGTTACGTATGTAACCCTGGTTCCCTGAGAGGGAATGAGAGCTGCGTTCACCTGCCATACTTCCTGCATGCCCTGATCAACTTGCTTCAGGCCTTTTCAGAAGCTGTCGCGGTCTGATTTCAAGGGTGCTATATAGTTTCCTGGTCAATGACGTCACCTGACGTCCTACTCTCTCATTGGACTGAATGTACAGACGCTTCATGACGCAATCACGCAGAGTATTCCCATAGCGTTTGACAACACAGCTCTGTTACGTATGCAACACAGTTACATACGTAACCTGAGACGTTTCCAACAGGTTTTATCGTAGTTTTTGTCACTCTATTGACTTGACTTGGTACAAAAACTATGATACTGTGTTGTTGTTGTGTGGAATCTGGTGTGCGCGCGGCAGCCGGGTGCTGCATACCCAAAACAAGGATAGGAAACGGCAGCTTTTTTTTAGCTCAATACAGACAGATTTCACGCAAAACAGGCAGAAATTACATGCATTGTGAACGTCAGGCTTATAATAATTTTCGTTCCATCTTGTCAACGAAAACTCGAAAACGTCTCATCATGTTTTAGTCACCATTTTTAGCTAGTCATCGTTGTGTTATCGTCATAAAAAAGTGCGTCAACAAAATCATTTCGTTATCTTCATCACTGACGAAAACATCATTGCGAGTAGCTCATGTTTAGAAGCCAGCGTCTTTATAGTAACGTTAGTCTATTGGCTACTGTTTTACATAATGCATATGCTAATTCAATTCAATGTTTGTTGGTAGATAATAGCCATGTTGTCAATATTATAATTTCAAGCTACCATAGATGAATCTGCAAATTTGAAAAATCGATTTGCATTATAGCCTGAGGCAAGACACTTTCACCAGAAAAATAAGTAACAAACATGACTATCAGCCTGCAGACTTAGGATAGTTATCCTGACCGAATATTTTGTTCGTCTAATTATGTATTATTTACTTGTAAGAATGTATCCCCTACCAAACTCAGTAATCAGTATACTTTCATGGGTTTTGGAAAAATATTATAAAGGTTGAAAAAATGCTGCTTTAAAATTTATTATACAGAATTTTTTCGCTTCAGCGTAGCCACGTAAACCGGAATTATCCGACAATGATTATCTGTACAGAAGTAAAGGGAAGGAGGCCTTCACAGGGAGGGAATAGTTGACACTTCAGGACTGTGTTGTCGTTGCGTCAAAATGCAAGTCCTTCATCAGATCTGGATACAGCCTGAATCCGGCGAGCAGCGGTAAACCTCGAGATAAACAAAGAGACTAATATAAGCGTAGATAGCATTCTTCTTATGATGTAACAATTACATCAGGATTTATGAGAAGTGTTCCGGCTGACCTAATCTATGCAGATTTTGATATTCTAGCTATTATCAACTGGCTGGAATTTTGAAATTGCAATAGACTTGAAAGACTATAATATATTAGGAAGTACTGGGGAGCTAAACCATTTAGTGTTTTGTAAGTAATCAGCAATATTTTAAAATGTATACGATATTTAATAGTGAGCCAATGCAGTGTTGACAGAACAGGACTAATGGTCGTACTTCCTGGTTCTAGTAAGAACTCGAG